GTATAATTATTTATTAATTAAAATTAAACTTAGTAGATACTTACTGATTGAAGTACGATATACTCTGTGTAATTCTCTTCAATACAATTTTAGAATTTATATGTACGAGTAATACATTAGGTGCGGAGTAGCATTACTGAAAAAATGTCTATCTTTGTTTGGTTTCCACGAATTCTATAATGTTTAATATATTATATGACTATGAAAAAAAAAAGGAAAGATGTAAGTCTAGGATTTTATTTATCATTCGTAATAAGTATACATTGTTATTTCATTTTAAATCATGTAACTCATTGTATTACAAAAAAATAATTATAATATTAATTCTAATTAACTATTTCTTATTTTCGATAAATGTATTTATATTCCTTTACGAACAAAATCTTTGTCAGCTACCTTATATGGAAACGTGTTTATTTAAGTGACTAATCTCTCTTGTAATTTTTGTACATTATAGTTATTTATCTTCAACTTCAAGAAGTAATTTTAAGAGATCTTTATTGTTATGAAATGGTAATAGGATGTAGAGAACATTATGATGAAAGAATATCCAACGACCGAACTCTTTGTAACATTTAAATGCTATTTCGTATGCATTTTCACAACCTGAGGTAATTTTATAATAATTTTTTTCAATCGTCCGAACGTAGCCAGTTGGTAAATTGAATGCTATTAAATATGTCACATTTAATTTCTTAACAATCGATGCTAGGTAATTTATTAATAAACCAAGTGCAGTTTTTCATATCCAAAATAATATCTCGAGTTTTAGTTATTGTGATATTTATTATTATTATTATTATTTTAATTTTTAGTTTATTGGGGAAAAAAACAGATCACATGAGTATAATAAAAAATATAAACAACAATACAGCAAATTAAAGATAAACAATACCTGTGTCCTTAAATATTTCTCACCAAGAAATATAAATAAGTTAAAATGAGAGGACGCTTGGGCACGCATCTCCACTAATAAATACATTTGATAAAAGCGAATGTGTAAATAAAATGTGTAAACCTAATCTAGGATGTGAAGGGAGCGATGGCGAAGGTGCAGAGAATATTAAATGCTTAAAACAAACTAAACTAAATTCTTAATCAATGTTAATGAGAAACAGGACTGCTAGGTGGTTTATTTTTTTCCAATAATGCATAATTTGACTTGTTCAAGAATACCCGGACAGTTGTATGCACTATGACAAATGTTGTGGAGCGCTTTTAAATCGCTAATCAGGCGTCGATCGCTCAAAGATAATAATTTGTACTTGTTCAAAAGATCCTGATAAGATAGATGAATAGAGGTGGAACGTTTGTGTACATAGCTGAGAAATTTTTTTTGAATCATTTTTGTTTTATATTCAATTTTTGTTTTATAAATGTTATAAATAGGACTCCTTATACAAGAGGCATATTCAAGTTGAGACCGGACTAATGAATTAAAAAGAGTAATGCAACAACTGTAGTCTTTGAATTTTTTTGTATTGCGTATTACAAAACCCAATAACTTATATGCCTTCGCCGTTATGTGATTCACATGTGTATCAAATGACATCTTGCTATCAAAAGTTATGCCAAGGTCTTTAATAGAATCCACTGAACGCACAGGGGTGTCACTGAGATTGTATACATATTGAATATTCTGTGTTGGCATGTTATGTGTTGGCATGTGTTGGCATTTTTCATAAGCAAGAGCGATACTATTTTCTAAGCAGTAGTAATTTAAACGATTAAGGTCTTCCTGAATATGCTTACTTATTTAGTGATTTATGCCTTGTATTTTTAAAGGACTGGATCTATACTTTTATGTTCAGTTGTACCAAAGTATAAAGGCACATTTACGAATTGCTAATTTAATTGAAATAATACATAATAACAAAATAAAAAAAAATGAAACAAGCGAAGCTTCATGCTTGTTCTTATTTTATTATTACTACTTTAACCTAATCTTAACATTTCCATTTTCAGAATAGTGATATTGTAAATGTTTCCTACGAAAACTTTAAGCATTTTTGAGAACAATAAGAATTTTATTACTTCACATTCCACGTGAAAGTTTTACAGGAAAAGCTTATAATTTTGCTAAGATATAGATTAATCGCTTGAATAATAAACATAAGAGTACTCTTGTTATAAAGTGAATTTATTAAATAAAAACAACTTAAGTACTTTCTCAAAGTAATTTTATACATATACCTATGTCTATTTTCAAACTGTTTCCACAATATACTTTTTAATCTCGCTTATTGAAATTTGTTCTCAAAACTAGCTCTAAGTATTGTTCTTAACCCTAGAGTGGGCGCGTCTCTTTGCGTAACGTCAGTAGGCGCGTGGGGAGCATTTTGCCGCCTCATTTTCTTTGACTATTTTGACTAGTATTACTGCAATTTAATATTTTTTCTTTTAGGATTTAAATAAATAAACAGTAAGTTATAATAAATCAACATATTTATTCAACTTTGTTCTATAAACTTTGGTTTACAAAAGACTTTAGAAAACTTAATATTTTAAATGACTTTTTTTCTCTTAAGCTACATAATACTTTTTAATTCTTAAAAAATAAAACAAAAATAACAAAATTATATATTTTCTAAATCTACAGGATACGCTTTATCAAAAAAGTCTTCACAAACACCTGTACAATGTTCATTGCACAGTAACTTTTGGCATCTGGAACACCCTTTTTTCGTGCGCCTGTTTTTCTTTGAGGAACATATACTGCATTTGCCCTCCTTTTTCGAAGAAGATGCTTGTTCTACTAGGACAAAGCGAGCAATTTGGTTCCTCAAAGAAATATTTAAAGTGCCTATATAAGTCCTTGTGGTCATATATTGCTTGACAAGTACCATGGCAATTTGTTTCAAATATTCTCGACGTAGCATCAAATGTTGAGTATTGGCTTTGTATATATGTAATTTGACTGCTTATACCGGCATTATTCAACATTAAAAAAGTAATCTCATTGGCCATCTGCGAGTCATCCTCCCAACAGAATATTCTTCCTTCATTTGGTCAACCACGTCACACCACCTTTAGTACTGTTATAAAATGTTATCATTTCAGGTCAAAGTTGATAATAGCAATACTTTCTTTTGCTTTTTATTTGGAACATAAGATAGTAACACTTTCCTGTCGCCAAATCCAAACATTGTAGATGGTTTCGCCCGATCTTTGGTGTTCAAGATTTGGTATCCCACCAAATCTTTTGATCTTCTATTTTATCCATTTTTATTTATTATTATCAATCAATTCTTTGAAAACCTAAAAGAAATATATTTTTAGTTGCAAAAGTTATTAATGCACCATAAAATATAGTCAACATTTCGAGTTTGCAAAAAATGCATTATACAATATTACTTACGTGAGTGGGCGCGCGGTGAGCGATTTGCCGCCCGGCGACACCTAATAGTAGAAAAAATCTTCTCCTGCGGTCCTCCGGGCACTGACGGTGTCCAAATTTACGGTAAACGTTGCTAACGAGAGTGGGAGCAGCTACTAAGAAGCGCAAGTCTAAAGGCTAGTTGTTTTAATTATTATTAACGGTTTTTTAGCGCGGGCGGCAAAATGCTCATAGCGCGCCCACTCTAGGGTTAAAGCACTGGTGAATGTGTAAAGTTTTATAAATAATAAGTTATAACCAATAAAAGAAATACTATATCTTTAAAATATGGTCAAATATGAATAATATTATTTTCACAACAAAATTTCTTAATCTTAAGAACTATATTTTTCTTATAAGCATTTCTGTAGGCACTATTCCAAAACAGCTTCATTGATATTCAATGGCAACACATTTAAGATTATCATACTAGTTTTCGGAAGTATAAACGGAATTTTAAACCTGATAAGACGGTATCTAATAGTCACTTGAAAAATAATTACAAACAATATTAAAATTCTTTTAAACTTTTCACACTTTCAAATTCTTTAAAACTTTTTTAGTTTTTAAAATCTTTAGTATCAATTCCTTTTTCCTGGTAATTTCCTAGCTTTAGCAAGGGTCTGGGTGATGATCGAAGAAATTAATTGATTGTACTTTTCTTAGTGAAAGTTTTTGTATATAAGAAATAAGTGAAATAATATGATTGTTAAATATAAAGTAGTTAAATTTTTTGGAAACCATTTTAGAAAAGCCTGTCACATTTATTATGTATAATTTTTTTTTAGTTAAAGATATTAATTAATAAATTGTTTTATGTGTCAAAGGAACCAAAGACTGCCTATCTGATGAGAAGTAGTTCTAAAGGAAAATGTATACATTATACATAAAAGGAAACAGAATAGATTAAACATAACATTCATTTCAAGTATGAATGTCTAAGTCATGGTTTGAAAGTATAACTCAATTTAGGATCGATTTTCCAATACTGATAACTAATATATTTTATATTTTGATCATAACTATATTTTTCAAAACAAGCAGTTTTTTCACAAACATTAATACAGCATTATTAGCAATTCTTAGCATTATAATTTAAAATTAAAATGTCTATGTTTGGAGAACCATAAATAAATAAATAAAATTATGTTATAAATCACGTAACAGATGTTGCAAAATAATATTCAATACCATTTGCTTTTCTTTACTTTGCAAGAGCATTTCAAAAGGACATTTCGTTTTAATGACGTTGTTATTCTATCTATAACGAATAGTTTTACTTTAAACAACTTGTTAGCAGACGAGAAAAAAGATAGGTACTATTTTACATCGTTTCGGAATTAACTTAATAACATATAATAGTTTAAAGATAATTTTTCGGATTGTCTTTAGTTATTCTTTTTATTACAAGATATTTGAAAAATTTCTTAATGTAAAGTCGTTTAAAATCTTACAGGAATATAGGTTTATACGGTCTTATTAAAATTAATGTTCGTCTTTCTTTTCACAACGTCAGAAATAAGATAACATAAAAATAATGTTATTTATTTCATTTCTCTTTCTTCTATGAGTTGCATATTGACAATGGTCCAATTTAGTAAAATCCACCTACTTTTTCAGTAAAATGTGGCGGATCTTTCCACTTCTTCTTTGCTTCTACGCGGTGCTCTCAAGTGGTACGTCTAGTGATGATGACAGGAGATGGCTTGTTTCCCTCATAGATCTGGTGGAGCTGGACTATCAAGATCAATGTAACCAACGAGCTGAAGCAACCTGGGAAGAACTTTTAGGCAAGAAGAAAATCTTGTCTTTGAATTTATGTTACATTTTAACTTCAATTGAAAGTAAAAAACCAAATTTTTATGAATCACTTTATTACTGAATGTTTATTATCTTGTCATCTACTGTTTGTTTTAAATAAATAACTTAATATCGTCTCGTCGTCGTCGTCGTATCGTCGTAAACTTAATAATGAAAACCTTTAATTTTTGTATTTCAAAATTCGTTGTAAAAGTTATATAGTGTAAGTTTTTGTACTAGCTAAAATTATTACTGATTTCGCCTACACTCTGAGATTTTTAAAAAGGTTTTTGATCACTGTAAATGTTTCTTATTAACCTCATGTACCTTCGGTGAAGGAAGAAAACTCTTAAGATTAAAATATCCAAAAAGGAGTAGTCCACTCTAATCAACTATTCTACAGGGAGACTATTCAAAATACAAATAGAACCTTCTCCTCTTAAAAGCTCTGGATTTCAGCGTTAATGGTAGCACATGCTACACTATTTATCAACCCATTGCACCAATTACGTTCGCTCAATAAAACATCTGCAGTCAAATTGTGTATTTTGGGCAGAATTACAATAACTTTTTTTTAATCTAAGTTAACGTGGTAATTGCAACACAAGCTCATAAACAAAATTCAGCACTGGGTAGCATAGAAAGCTGCCAATTGGCGAGAGGATTTAATTGCGTTACAGTGCACCAAAATTTCAGCAAAATATTTTATATAATAGACAAAGATGATCTTAAATATTTTTTCACTTCACAGTTAAAGAATAATTTATTTTCGTGTCACATAGAATATTGCGAAAGTCTTTCAAATCAGACATCATTTGTTATCAAAAGGTGCTGCTGGAACAAGACAAGGCATTTGGAATCTTCTCCAGCAAGCAAAAAATGGATGTGAAGTCAGCATTCACAAGCCAGGCTCTCGCTGCTGATGTCAATGTTTTAAGACGTCGTGTGAAATTGTTACTTCAGCCAGGACATACTTTACTTGAAACAGAACAATGGATACGGGTATTTTTCATCTCAATTCCTAATACCAAGCTCCTTATAGTTCTAAGCCTCACATTAAAATTTTAAGTATGCAAAAAAGAAAAAGTTAAACTCAACAAATAGGATTCAATGTTTATGTGTGTTCTGTTTATGAACACTTTATCTTTAATGATTTTTTTTGCAAGAAAATAATTTTTGGTTGCTCACCTAACAATTGTATATTTTTAAGAATGTTATTATGTGATATATACATATTTTGATTTGATTTGTTTAATAATGTAGTTAGTAAACTTTACAAATTTAGTTTCATAGGTAGAAATTATTTACTTTATAAGCAACTCTGAGTTAATCCCACATTAAATACACTTCATTATAAAATTATATGTAGATTGTTATTCTTTTCGTAAATACATGTCAAAGTGAAATATTTATTACAGTTGGTAACATTAGCTGATACTGCGCTTAACCGATTGCGATTTGCTGGGGATTACAACTGTGGAGTCACTGTTAAGTTTTGTTATGCGAATTGGCACAGCAATCTCAATTAATTTCCACATTCTATATTACGTTCTTAGTATTCAACGCATTCCAATCTTTTACGAGTTAAATTTATTTATTACTTTCTACTTAGGCCGAGGGTTATGAGTTTCTAATAATTGTCAAAGTTTTGCTACGCTTCTGAAAACATTAACAACTGTTGAACGCATTTTAGATGTTTTATTTGTAACTCATTTATACGGAATACTAATTGTGATTTATTTCACCGTCATTTAATATTTAACCATGTTCACCAGAACTGCATAACTCCATAGCAAGAGAACAAGATGAGGAAAAGTTGCGTCTGATGAAAGCGTCATGGGATAGTCACCTGCCAGATTTTAAGGAATATCTTAATAAAATTCTGCCTTTACAGAGGAATGTGTCGAAAGAAAGTCATAGGTTTATTATTGATGTTTTTTAATTTTACATACTTTTTTATTAAAATATTTTATTTCTTTAAAATAATAATTAATAAAAAAAATAAAAAAACATATCAATAACATGTTTTCTACTTAATGGTTTTATCTGTAGTAAACAAAGTATATTTATGTACGTATCAACAGTTTATGACTCTGCTGAAGAATATTGGAATTCGTTAGCCGAATGCGAAGGGGCAATGTTAACGGCCCCTGAGATTTGGGATCACGTCAGACCTTTGTACCTCAAATTACATAAATACGTATCACTCAAGCTGAAAGGCGTGGACGAAGTTGGAAAGCCCTTGCCGATATATTTGCTTAGTAAGTTAATTTAACCCTAAAGGTTACGATTAAGTTTAGACTCATGTGTCAACCCAGATAGTGTACAATGCATCATTGGCAGTATCGAAAACAATATTATGTATGAAGCTTCTATACATAATTCCAAATTCTTAGACTTAATTTCTTATTATAGTATGTTAAACGTTTATGTTTATAGCTTTTAAAAACCCATAATTATCAAATTGATGTAGATATACAATTAGATTCATACAAATGTAATCAACTGTTTTTAATTATTAAAAGAATTGGCTGAGCTTACCTCATAAAATATACATTCAAAATTAGTATTTTTCTCATATCCTATTTGTAGTAAAAGTTGAAATAAAAATGTACTTCAGATTTAGCTCCAGCATATTTGGTTTACATTTTGATTTTTTAATTAACATTTCAATTACTGTGCAGTAAACGTGTTCGCAGTAAGACGGAATAGTTTTATTTCATAAACCAAATATGCAGGAAATAGATTTTTAAATGTAGTTTTAACTAAACGGTGCCAAATATTTTAATTCTCTATTTCATAAAATAGGATCACTTAATGCAGATGTCTCGTCTAATTTGATAGAGAATTTGCTACCGCTTCATCCAGACATTTATCAAAAACTTCACGCTAATTTACAATTAGAGGTAAAATAATAATTAATTTTATAAAAAAATAATACCTTACTTATATTTATGGTTTCGTCATCAGCCTATCAGAGCCCATTGCTGAGCAAAGGCCTTTTTCTCACATGGAGAAGGTTTGAGCATTCATCACCACGCTTGCTCAAGACGGGTTGGTGATTTAGGTTTACTGTTATTTAAATTATTATTTTTTTATATTTGTAGGATGTCAGTGGCTTAAATGCATTCAAAGAAGCAATTAAATTTGGGTGAAATACAATCTGAAATATTAGAAGAATCCGCTTTCAATGGAACCTACCCTCCTATAATAGTAGATTGGTGCGAATCAAACAGAATGAGATTCGTAACTTGCAAGGACGTCAGTATTCAGAACTATATGGACGCACATGAAACAGCTATGAAAATAAAATACAAAATCACGACCAGCTTACACAGCAATAACACATACGTGTTAAGAGGAGCGCCACGTTGCTCGGGTAAGCTGAAACAGAATAAGATCAAAATGTAGCAAGTTTTACGACTGTTTATATGATGTTTTTATTATCACAGCTATATATGAAGCAGTGCCGCGATTTGTATCATTATTGCCTCTGAATCCCCATACATTAGAGGGTGCTGGTTTGTATCCGCTTAATAGGTTTCATTACAACCAAAACCACAATAGACTCGTTCTGCTGCTCATTATAGCATTGAGAGATTTATCGAAGTGAGTAATTTATAGTATTTATATAATGGTTGCCAAATGTTGAAATTTCATATTTTATAAACTGATCAATTATTTACTCTTTGACTCATATCATCATCATGATATGAGTCAAAGAGTAAATAATTAATAACTGAACGTTGGGCCCTTTCTAAAATTAGCATGGAGGATTTAGAAGCACCACCCCAACAGGTGATACAGTAACTCAAAATTGATTGACATAGGGCGTAGTATATGGTTCGTAGGGTTTCTAAACTAGCTACATCTCGCAAATATCTTACCATATACATATATGTATAAGTTTACGAACTCTCCCCGCAACCGCTTCGATGTGAGCTTTGAAATTCAATTGTTGATCCAAAATAATACCTAAATATTTAATACTATTACTTCTGTCTATTTTTTGACAGTTACATATACATATTATAGTTATTTCCGCAGGAATGTATATATACACTAGACAATGTTGGTGGAGGACTATTCGTTAGGGTTTTATGGAAGCAGACAAATTTGGTTTTTGAAACATTCAGTATAAGACAATTGTTCTTTAACCATGTATTAATTTTAGACATGCCCAATTCTACATTCAATAGAGCTTCAGTCCAGTTAGTGCCATCAAATATAATTGCCGTATCATCTGCGTAGTAAATTATATTTGCGTGATTATGGTAGGTATGGTAGGTTATGAATATCATTAACATATAATGTAAATAATGTCTAAATTTTACATAATAAGTTAACATTTAAAACACACGATATTATCAACGAGAACATAATAGATACAGAGGATGATCATAACTATAAATTAGAAACATCAACGGTTGGAGTGTTAGAAATCAAAAACCCTTTGGCTGCAGGGGACCAGACAGAGTCTACTAATATAAAAGAAGCCTCATACAATATTTATTGGTAGATCGGCATCGCAGTATCCTTAGTTATCATCGTTATTTTAGTTGCGATAATTGCAAGAAAACGACACAACCATAGAAAACGATTGAAAAGACAAAGAAGACAGAATTCGCGTGCTTGATGTAAAGAGTATCGGTTCTAAGTGAACCGAAAGACATTAGTGAAATTGTGCTAATATTTTGAGTACAATTGCGGTTGATTGTTTTATTTTTAAGGCCCTTTTCATTTCATATCTACATATGGTGTAAATGGACTTCTTACTCTATGGTGCTGTATCTCTACTACCATTTCGGAAGCATTTAGTTACAATGAATGCGTGTTTTTTCCTTTGCTATTCTAAAATAGGTTTAGAAGAGGAAAATATTTTGTACATATCACAATTTGCGATATATTAAGATGGTTACCAAATGTTTAATATAGGTGTATTCTATATTGTATAGTTAGAAGTAAATGCGCCGTGCCTTAAGCGTTTCAATTTCAAACAATAAATGGAACGATCAAAATTTCTAATGATTAATCATTAGTAATTTTATAAATCTCTATTTACTCCCAAAGACCCTTCTATATATGTTTTATAATTTTGGTTGTTTTATTATTATGTTTAAAATAAAATTGGATCATTATTTAAATAAACGAATATTAAATTATTTTATTGTCGGTATATTTTAATGGATTTTATTTATTAGATTACTAACAACTGTTAGTCAAGCAAGATTGTAAAGATTGTCAGATTAAAAATTATAATGTTTTGAAGAAACTAGTTGTTTTATTGAATTTTCCCTCCCAATATTAATTACACTTAAGATGTATCAATGATGATAATTATTTTTTACCTTATATTTATGTACGATATACTATATATAAATTGGAAGAAGAATGATTTTGTATATTTAAAACTGATCTACAAGTATATTTATAAAAATATAAATTATGATTCAAGAAAATTAAGGAAATAGTTTCTCTTTTTCTTTTTAATTCTTTGGAAATCTCTGACATTTCAAAGTATTTATTTAAACATTGAGACAGGGACCTGAGAAAATATTCTACGGTAAACGAGATGGTCGTCCTTTTTAAGATTTGATAAATTTAATTATTTGGTACTCATATTTTCTGTATTTTGGACAAATTATAAATAATGTAGAAAAAAATATGTACTCTGTTTGAAGTGACAATAATATTAAATATAAAGCATCGAATTTCCCCTCATTATTAAGAATTAGAAATAACTTTGTATGAAAAAGGTATCAATACCATATCTTCAATTATGTCTTTCAATCTTTAAAAAAATAATAAATATAGAATAAAAGTAATAGAATTATCTCAAGCAAAAGAAATGAATAATATTCGATATTCAACCCAACATGAAAAATTAAGGAGATTCATTTCTCAGTTAGAATTACTTATAGAAATATTTTGAAAACCTTGACCTTAGCTTGTACAGTTGTGTGTTTGGGTGTTATTCCATAATTTCATTATTATTTAAAAATATTATTACGATTTTTTAGGCACATTTAATAAACTATATCCTTCCTTCCTTATAATATATAACCATTATTTAGAGTCAACCCATTTGGAATAGTAAAATCTTGGCAATGAAATTTTAATCAAATCTTAAATTTGCCTTGCCACGTTCAACGAAAACTATAAAAACTCGAAATTATTTACTTCAATTATCTTCTAATGACTTTAAAGCCTAGACTCGCCTAAAAAAAATATTGTTTCATACATAGAAGTGACTAGGAAACAATAACTAATTGAATTATTTAGCAGTAGTAGCTATTTATTATAGAAAGACAGGCATCCTAACTGCCTCTCTGGAGCCTTATCGATACAGACTTGGCTGTCTGCCGAAAAAAGCTTTACTGAACTGTATTAACCCAATTATGAAATGGCAATCAATTTAGATCACAGCAGCGATCTTTAACTATTCTTTCAAAGACATCCCTCGTGAATTAATTAATTACCACTTATTATCTACTCAATGGAATTGAATACGTTAGGTCGTTTTATATCTTTTCATTAATTTTATCGACCGCACTTTTGATTTTTGTTTTCGTAAGGCAAGCGCATTTAAAGCATACTTTGGATAATACATTTATTAAATGTATGTATGTATTTCTTATGTGTTCGTCAAGAACCTCCAAAGTCAAGTCATTAAATTGAAATACTTAGGACAATATCATGCCTTAGTCATGCTATCAGTTATAAGATAATAAAATAATAATAACAGATCAAATTCTTTACCTATTGAATACAATTTTTCTAAACTACTCTATTATTCAATTTTATTAAATTACACAACTTGAAGAGAAAAATATGAGACATAAATCTTTATTTCCTAACACCTCCAAGCCATAAATTGCTGTACAAGCTACAAATGTGCCGTTCGATACTAAAAAACCTAATAGACAAACAATTTGTTGATAAATAAATAGACGGACAACATTTTATAGTTCTTCTAAAGAACTAACTTTTCAATTCCGTCTACCAAAAACAGTAGAATGAAGAGTGAGCACGTGGTCTTATGTAATGTAATATATTATATGTATTTATATCAACTTGATAATTGGATTCATATAATTTCTTTCATTCATAATAAGCTTAAATTAGGAAGAGTGTGTGTTACATAATATGTAATATATGTATACATATTATAGGCATTAAGAAAGTTTACTTGAAGAAAAGCTATTTTATATGTGTATGTGCCTTATTGAATAGAAGGCAATTTATTATAAAAACAATATTAAGCAAAAAATTAAATTCTTTATAATAAGTATTGAATATACACAAGTGTTAGTTAAACAAAGTTTACGAAATGGTAAAGATCACAAGTTTTTTGCTGGCTAAAACCATGAATTCTGAAACCAAAATATATTTTTTATCTATTATCTTCTATAATATAGTTATTGTAATGAGTGGACCAATTTAATCTTTATAAAGTTGAATAAGAGCTTATATTCTTTTTAGGCAAAATTTAGTTCCTTCAACATTCTTTTAGCGTAATAAAATACATAATAAAATTAAGATAAGATTAAACTATCATATCTCATGATACGGCACGGTGGCGTCCTACTTTATATTCTTTATATCTACGTTAATAAAGCGGAAGTTACAAAACAAAACCATAAACAAATAAGAAATCTGCCAAATAGCTAATCCTATGTCTGGAAAAATACTTCGTTTAAATTAGTATCATTGTTTCTTATTTTTCTTGTTCTGTTTTAAGGTTCTAATACAGATCCATACATCACTTAGAGCGATTAAAGGAACAAACTTCTACGCGAGGGCAATAAATTCATACATAAAAGATACAAAAACGAACTCACTTTATCTTGATATTTAGCGATCAGTAAATTAAAGCAGTAGAAACGAAAGTATTTAAAATTTTTACATTTGTACTTTAAGCTTCGGTTTTAGATATTGTTGCTCTATATAGTTAATATAGATGTAAACTTCAATATAAAGATTATATTATTTATTTAAAATTGACCAGAAATGAATAAAATGTATCATTTCTCATCATTATTAACCAACACAGAATAGAATTCCTTTCTGTTGCATAAATCGAAAACCACAGATAATTTATTCTAATATATGTATATTTAGAAGGTAATGTTCTTTCACGTGTCACCTGATAACCTATCTACCGGCGAGTGAGTTGGTTTGCAGCTAGACATTTAAGACTCTAAGTCATTAGTAACTTACTTTAGCTTCAATAGTTAATCAGACTGGTTGTACTGAAATAGAGTATTGTTGTACTGCATTATATTGAGTGAAATATCGTCAAATGATTCTTGTTTGAAATGATGTGATTGACTTGAAGAAAGATTTTGATTGTACATGGCAAAATACTGTTATAGCCAAATAATCAATATACTTAAATTTTTGAGAGGGGCTGATATAAATGTTACTAACAAATTGAGTCTTGTGTTGCTTCAATTTTAAATTAAATTAATAAAAATCATATTCTGCACTTAATAAAGACTAAATTTTTAATCTTCATAAGGTAATGTTTAACACGACACTATCGTAATAAATTTGACTTTACAAGACACTATTTTAAAATGTTACGAAAACAAAACGTATTATATTTTATTT